AGACGCTATCAATAGCACTCTCACATTTACACATTTAATAGCACGCTCCTTAGTTTGTAAGGTGTAGGTAGGGATTACATTTAGATTTTATATGCACGTGTAAATGGTTTAAAACTTCCTTTCTTTATAAATCTCGTTTAATCTTAAAGTGCATTACTATATTTTTCAAAACCAATTACTTGTTAAAGTTTGTACAATCAGTGGGATCAGTTGCAATGCATATATGTGAATGATAAAAGTAAATTGCACATTTGTCGAAGGAAATGTAAGGTGCTTCATGAAATCTTTTGTAAAAGATATGTTCATTTAATTTCAACATTTTCCTAATGTTCTTGTGCTTCCTTATACCAAAACAAAGGAAAGACATGTTGTTTTGGTTATTTATAGCAAAGTATGGTATCATTTTAATGGTCCGGCCCACTTGACATCTACCCAGGCCGTATGTGGCCCACCATGTGAAATGAGTTTGACACCCCTGGTCTAAAGGAAAATCTTGGTGAATGTGTGCACAATGTGTCATTCCAAAATGGTGTAGTAGGAATTACAGTATGCGTATATGTGCAAGGGAAGGGCATGGGCAGTTTCATTTTCCAACATTGCCTCTTTCACAGCACATAAGTACAAGCCCATAACATTATGAGCATCGTAAGCCGATAAGCATTGCATTATCAAAATTGGCAGACATGCTATGCTGGAAACTAAAGGTTGTCCCACAACATCATTATATTTGACCATCATTTCGAAACAGTTAGGATTTCACAAGGTTGGGATTTTTACTCATGAAATCAAATGTGGCAGAAAATACCCTGATTTTGCGAATTACCAGTGTCGGTCAAGTTACTCAGAAAATAAAACCAACCTAAAAAGGTAAGATATAACAATATTACTGTACTCAAATTACAGTCCACCTGCCTTACTTTCACCGAACAATATACAACACAAAAGTGCCAAGACAACAGATTACAAATATGAAGGACAATTGTCTTGATAGGCCTACTTACCATTTTTAGGCCCTTTGACTTTGTAATGTCTAGAGCAGGGGTCACTAAGGTAGTACCCGGGGGGCACCAGGTAGCCCCCAGGGACCACATGTGAAGCCCGCAGGCCTGTCTAGAAATAGGTTAGCAGAAATGGGACATTGTGGTGTTCTAGGAATGTTGTTGAAGTGATCCGTTGACAATGTAAACGGTGGCAGAGAGCTATAGGAATGAAGTGTCGCATATTGATATGTATCCGTCAACTAATTATCATGAGAAATTATGAATATGATTAGTGCCTTCACATACATTAAAATTTGATTTGGGTTTGTGTTCAGATTTATTTATATCGCAGATTTTATCTAAGGTGTTTTCTATTGATATTGATCACGTGTCGATCGCGATACATATTGATCTTGAATTATCGCGCAGCCCTACACTATATTGAACATACAATATTCAACATCACACCACAATGCTTCCAATGCCTCATGTGGCAGGGACAAATTGATTTGGGTGAGCCTGCTGTCAAAATACATGTATACGGCCTTACAAGGAACATAGGCAGAATTTTCTTACGTAAATTAAAAATCTAGACTTTCTTTGCTTCTGCTAAGGCTGATGAGGTGAGGATGAGTGACAGACTCTTACCAGCAGCGCTTGATGCTGTGGGCCAGTTCTGGACCAGAACTCCTTGGGCTCCCTGCATCACTGAGGACTCCTCCATATGTACTGAGCTACGACAAACATACAAATAAACATGTTGAATAAGTCATTAGACAAATGATACAACACAGTAAATGAATATTCACAGAACACTTTACCACAAACTGGCCTTTTTTTTTAATCATTTTAATTGACATTACCAGGGACAAAATTAGGTGGGGAAACGAACCCATCGCAAATTTAAAACAATGCTCCAGGATTTTTTCTTTTCTTTTTTTTGCCTAGAGTACCCATTTATTTAGTGTGCACTGTCGGAATGACAATCAAGCCATCTGAAGCAACTCCTGTTCGTGCACTGCATGACAATATTATGGTGAGAAGGTCAATTAAAAAATAAACCTTGCATAAAAAAGAATACATGGACAACCAAGCCTTGGTAGACTTTTATTTTGAAATTGTTCCCGGCAGCATGTGGTGGCGTGGTCTTAACTCGTCTTCCCAACTGTAGTCGGGATCACTTTATATTGTAGTCACAAACTGTGACTACAATTTTGACACAATATCATTCTGAAACCTTTTTAATCACTATTTAAGGATGCTTTTCAATCACTATTTAGGGATGCTAAAAACAACTCAAATTAATAACACATAAAACATATTTTACCGATAATCCTAAATCATGAGTTGTAAATTTTGCAAAAGTATACCAGCATCGTACTAATCAGTCACTTCAAAGTCAACTATAAGCTTTGACTCATCAATGATTATCTCACAAGCTTTATAATGACAAAAAAAATCAAAAACAAAAAAGTATTTTATCAGAGTAGAAAACTATTTCAAATCTAAATTCATTATTTCATATCTAAATAAGCACAGGAAAATGCTTGTTCTTTGTAAATATGCAGTGGATAAAACACATGGGATTAAATGAAATAGGTCAGTACCATCATGCGGCATTTGAGGTTATCCAAAATCTCAGTGTGACAAAGTCATTAAACTACATCATAGATATGGAATATATTCATCCGATTTACACAAGCAAATCCTAGCTGTAATTATGAGGCGATCTGCTTCATATTAACGACACTTACCGTATGTGAGCTTTCTGGTCATAATCTGACCCGATAATTACAGTCCACTCACAGAAATAAAACGTGTAAAAACGGGGTCGTGCAGACAACATGGAGCATTAGCAACAGGCGCTCATTTATGGAAACTGAGTTTCATTTGGGTGAGTCCGTATGGTTTCACAACAGCTTCATAGTTTTAATTGGTAATGTGACGGTGCAATCAATCAAGCCATGTCACACCTTTGAATCAGACTATCTCTCCTTCATGAGACGAACTTCCTCCACTATTCCATGTAGCAATTGAGTGCTTGAAATCTTAAAATGCATCCTACTTTGAAATCTTATTGTTGTTTTGATCAATCTTTAAAAAAAAAAAAAGTGACCGAAACATCAAAACTTTTATGAGCATTTAATCGGATCAGTTTAACATCACTAAAATGCATGGTTGTAGACGACCACAATGCATTCAACCAGGTGTCTTCCAGTTTTTTTTTTTTTGTGATCTTACATTAAAGTGCAGATGTGCACGAGAAAAAACATCATAAATCAGAAATAGATTCATTTTGAGCGGTAGTCTCAAGCACTCTGACTGAAGAGCTTTATTCCCCAAAACGCTATACTGTACTGTCAAGCTATTTCACTTATTCTGAGAAAACTTACATTTATTTACCCAGAAATGTAAATGTTATCACCTAATTGATTTCCGGTAAGTGTTTACCGTTAAAACATTTCACTGTTTCAACAATGATGTACACATTTCACAACCAGGATGTCGATTATAGAGTGTGCACTCACTTTGCTTGTAGTAACTACGAAAATATTCCAAAGAAGCTCAACTTTAATGCTTAAGTGCGCTATTTGGCGAAAACGTAAGAACTGATAGGGTCAGCCTATATACTGTATAACAGACCCCACCGGTGGACTCATCTGCCACCTGAATGTCGAGTTGTCTTTCATTTCTTACTTTGACGATTTTCATTATTCGACCGAAGCTGTCTGCTATTTCTTGAAAATATAACTTTTAGAAATTACTAAAGGTATTCATCAAATAATTGTGCTTGAAAATTTTAAAATGAAACTCGTAGGATGATTACAATGCTGCGGGAATGTTAACTGGTCAAAATGGAAGATGAATGCAGGCAGTTAGTGGGATATTTTGAACAGGGTTATAAATATAAAAGTGTCATGACAAATAAGAATCTGAATAAGTGTGTTGATGGTGAAGGATTCGGTTATTTTGTAAGTGTCATGCAAGCCCGATGGCTACAAAAGAGAACAAGTCTGTTGAAACAAGGTTTCCACAAAAACATAATCATTCACGATGATGGAAAAAAAGAAACGACAAAATGAAGGACCACCAAATGTTTGAGTGCTCACCTCTGCATGACACCACCTGCTCTCAGGGAGGCTGAATATCTCCAGTCAGAATGTGGCGCCTTAGGCTGCAAAGAGATTGAGAGGAATTGAGTCTTAAGTACAGAAGAAACCTTATACCGCCACATTAATAAGTCATGGCGGAAGTCAAAACTGCCACTGCGTCCCCGTTGTTGGAAAAAAATGAGTGGTGAGCTTCGGAGGGTGCATTCAATTTCGTCTCCTTTATGAATGCCCTTCAAAAGTGATTACAAGACAATGGTCACATCAGATGAGCAGAAAGTACAGTGTGTACCGCTTTTTCCTTTTCCACCAGCTCAACGGAGTATTTATCATTACTCTGCATCCAGATGCTAGATGATGCTGTAAAATGAATGTCATGTTTTCTGATTATGTTCGCCTTCCTTCATAACTTCTCCTTAGTATTTTATCCCTTTGTGTATAACCTTCGTTCTGCAGGTCATCTTTCACAGGAACACAGTAGAGCGAGTTCGTCAATTCACTGCTGTCAAAACAACAATGTAAACAAAGACAAATACAACTGTTATCTTCATCCTCTTCTTATTAATTAGATCTGTAGTAATATATAAATCACAAACTAAGATAACAGTGTGTTCAGAAGGGTGTGGAAAAAAGGTGGCTTCACCAAAATGAAATGCCTTTTTATCGAAAAGAGTCAAAATCATCAGATTGAGGACACGCAGTCATGAATATGGATTTTGGGCCCACGTGAAATCACTTCTCCTACTTGTCCAGCAGTGCAGAGACAACCCAATTTCAAACATACAAGACATGCACTTGCTACTCTTGTGTATTTGCCATAACATTGACTCATTTGGATAACAGTTATTGCATTTACAGTTTCAGAAAAAAAAAACAAGCCATGAAAAAGAAGAAAACAGCAGTATTAAATACAGTACCCTATTTGAAAAAGACAAACATGAATGGTGAGGCCAAATTGTTCCAAAAAAAGCATGAAACAGTTTTACTAAATGTTTGTCCTGGTGCAGCATGGACATAGCCGACGGGAGGCTGGTCTGCCGAGCTCTGCAGTGTGTTGGGAGTATTTTGTAAGAACACACACACACACACACACACACACACACACACACACACACACACACACACACACACACACACACACACAAACTCGCACAAAAACACATAAGATACAAGCCTCTGGAACCAAAACATGTCTATAGTCTAATATGCATGCGCATTCCTTGAATAACACCACTGATCAAATCTATGAAGGGATGCAAAAGAGTTCCAAGCAGGTTTCGTGTATCAGCTATTCATTTCCAAATCTGAGTGGAATATTGATTCTTTGTTTGGCATTCTAACCTTATACTACTTTTTTTCTCTAATCTTCCCTCTCCGGTGAATGAACACTTCTCGCATGGATACAAGGCTCACACCTCTGCCATGAACAGCGCGTCCAATCAAATTCCCCCCCACCGCCTTAGCTGCCTGGAGCCAGCCAATCTGCTTTCAGCACCTATTGCTATCAGTTAATAACAGAGCTAGAGGAAACTTGACCGGCATTTAATGAGGAGCGACTGATAACCCCTATTTATTCTATTTGTCATCCTTTTGTGTTTTGAACAGACAGTACGAGAGGCTTGTTGGCTGGTATGTGGGTGGAACCGTCTCCAAACACACTGCTGCAGGCTGCGCTATTCCCCACTACATAGAAATGACCACTGAATTCCCTTTGGAGGAACCCATTTGAGCACAGCGGCACACAGCCCAGAGCAAACTGATGATGCTATTTGTGTGGGGTCAAAAGCTCAAATTGCTGCTTGTGCGTGCGTCACTGCGGCGAGAATAAGTAATAAAGTAATTCCAGGTTGAGATCGAAAGGCAAGTATACGCAATGAGATGTATTTCTGCACACAGGCACTCAAACTTATCACACCCTGAAATCTCAGAAATAATTCAGTCAAGGTCAAAGAAATTTGTCAACTTGGAATACGAAATGCAGATTTTTGCCCACAGAAATAAGGGCGCAACGCCTCAGACACACAACTCAGAGACCACATGTCAATTTGCTATTTATTGCTAATGCTAATATCAATATGTGGACATGAGGCGAAAAAGATTCAGAAATTTTGAAGTTCTTCAGTTTGCCAATTTAGTTTGGAAAATGGACAAGAAAGTGCAAAAGCCCAGTACGAGCAGAAAACACTATATTACCGTGAAATTGTGAATTGAAATGACATTGCCTTGCCATGATCTCAAAAAGTAAGCGAAGGTCATGTTATTTATCCCAAAAAATATATACGGTATATTTTTGAAGTAACCCCAAGTCTCTCTGTGTACTTCTATTTACATTGTAATACTGTTTGAAAAAAAAAATCATTCATATTCTGCAAAGAGATAAAAACATTTTTTGCGTGAAGTTATCTGTTCATGACATGTACAACAATGTACGGCAAAAATAAACATAATTTTGTATCCTTTAAAAACTAAAGTTTCACTTTTGCCTAAGGACAACAATTTCCCGTTACATGCATGACAGAAAATCCATCCCCATTGCTCCAAATGCAGACTACAACTCTACCGTAAACTGTATTGAAGCAATTTAGACCTTCACCATGACGTTTCCTGTTTTGCTTTGAGACACAATAAAACACGCATGTCAGAACAAGCACACACCTGAATGGCAGTCGCATCTGGCATACTGAGACGGCGAACAATTATCTGGCTGTGTCCGCTGTGGCTGGTGACATAGCCCGAGCCCCAGGTGCCACTGTGGGGTCGTCCCGTGTTGTAGAACATAAACGTGTCACTTCCAGAAGTCGCTGTCAGGCACGTTTTGTAACAGTACGTTTTGGTGACCGACCCATTGGCCCGCACTTCAATGTAATGCGGTTCGACTTTAAGATCTCGGCGCAGGGCCACGTTGGCACTTGGCTGGCTTCCCCCTGATGCGGGTCGTCCTGCGACTCCACCGGCAGCTGCGGTGCTGCTAGCCTCAGGCAGATTCTTCTTGGACACACAGCATGGGGAGCAGGAACCAGGCTGGGTGCAGTAGGCATGGCAACGCACGATGGCCAGCACACAGACAGTGACCAAGAACACAAAGGTGGTGGCACACAGGGCGATGATGAGGTAGATAGTGACATGGGAAAACATCAAGGGGCTTTCGGGCCTGATGATACGCTTCGGGTCAGGGGTCAATTTAGGCATGAGCTCCATCACATGCACGTGGACAGTTGCGGTGGATGAGAGCGGAGGCAGGCCATTATCACGCACCAGAACAGTCAGCGCAAAGGACGTAGAGTTCTCCTCAATGACTCGCCTCGTGGTGCGGATCTCACCAGTGTGCTCGTGCACCTTGAAGAGGTCAAACTCCACGTCGGGCGGCTGAAAGGTATACAGCAGCCAAGCGTTCTGCCCTGCGTCCCCATCCCACGCCACCACCTTTGTTACCAATACTCCAGGCTCAGCATTTTTCAGTAATGTCTCTGTGGTACGGCTCCCGTTGGCAGGTGGGTACACTATCCTTGGCTCGTGGTCGTTCTGATCCATAATATAAACATACACCGTGGCCACGCGGCTTAGCGGGGGCATGCCATTGTCCTGCGCTTTCACCTGAAAGTGAAACTCTCTCAGCTTTTCAAAGTCAAAAGTTCGCAGGGCGTAGGCCTCACCTGTGTGGGATTTGATGCCGACGTAGCTCGCCACAGGGATGCCGTGATTGTTGTCATTGAGGACAGTATAGGTGATGCGTGCATTTTCTGCTGCGTCTGCATCCGTGGCTTTGACGGTACACAGCGGCGAACCAACCGCATTGTTCTCGCTGATGTAAACAGTATACGAGGTCTGCTCGAATCGAGGAGGGTTGTCGTTGACGTCGGCAACATCTACTTTAAAGGTCAACTGTGACGACAGAGGGGGAGTTCCTCCATCTACGGCACGTACGGTGATGTTGTAGATCGAGACGGTTTCACGATCCAGGAATGCAGAGGTGACGACAGTATAGTGGGCGCGGAAGGATTTGATTTTGAAGGGCGTCGGAGGCATCAGCTCCAGCATGACTTGCTTATTGGGTCCCGAATCTCGGTCGTTAACGCTGATCATAGCAACGATGGTGTCTGCGCGGGCGTCCTCACGTAGAGGAATGGAGACAGATGACAGGACAATTTCAGGGACGTTGTCATTAACGTCTAAAACATCGACCACTACTTTACAGTGCACTGCCACGGCGGCAGGGCCCTTGTCCATCGCCTGAATGTAGATTTCATATGAGTTCATCTCCTCGTAGTCTATATTGCTCTTCACTGTTATCCTCCCTGTGTCTGGATCCATGGAAAACATCTGTCTGACCCGTTCAGGAGTGTAACTGCTGAATGAGTAAAAAACCTCCCCATTGGAGCCCTCGTCGAGGTCTGTGGCATTTAATTGAATCACAAGGGTACCCTTTGGGGAGTTTTCAGACACTTTTACTTTGTACACCGAGCTGTCAAAAGCAGGCACATTGTCGTTTGCATCAAGAATGCGTACGTTGATTTTGGCTGCGCCGCTTCTCTGCGGGGTGCCTCCATCCACTGCTGTCAGGATGAGCTGATCAGATGGCATCTGTTCCCGGTCAAAGGGCTTTTTCAGAATAAGCTCAATGTGCTTGTTATTAGAGAAGGGCTTAACAGAGTCTAGAGTTAGATGCTGGTTTGGGCTGAGGCGGTACTGCTTGACTGAATTGGAGCCATCATCTGGATCTTGAGCGGCCTCGATGTGGAACTTTGATCCAGTCAGAGCAGATTCTGACACTTCGAGCAGATACTCCAAATGTGGGAAGCTCGGTGCGTTATCGTTAACGTCCAGAATGTCCACCTCGACCTTGTGCACTTCCACGGGGTGGTCCAAAATCACCTCAAGGCTGAGTATACAGGTGCCATCAACTTTACACAGGCTCTCTCGGTCTATACGGTCACTCACCACCAACTTCCCACTTTTGTGATTAACGTTGAAATATCTCCGTCCACTTTCAGGGGTCACACGGATGCGACGGGTGATAAGTTTCCTGAGGTCCACACTCAAATCACGGGCAATATCACCCACCTGTGCGCCGTTCTCCAGTTCCTCCGGAATGGAGTAGTGAATCTGCCCCCTCGTACAGCCACCATATATTAAAATAATTACACATAATCCGTAACGTGCTGTTGCTGCCATCGCAGGGAGGCAGTATGTGCATCCAAAAAAATTAAATAAATAAATCTGTCTTTATAAAATCAGATGCGTATCTTCCGCCACGCTGACAGCAAGAAAATGGTCTGCATGACTACGTGCAGAACGCCGCCTGCTACCTCGCTGGTGCCCATTCCGCTTTCTTTTCTCCCTGTGTGTCCATGTTTGCGTTGTTGTGGATAAAAATGTTTGCCCTCCGAGCAAGACTGATTTCTCTCCTCCTCCCGCTCTTCCCTGTGCTGTGGTGTTGATGTGTGGGCAAAAGGGAGGGAGGGGGCTTGCTCAAACGATGCAGCTTTCATTTCAGCTCTGATAAAATTATCTAATGAAGAATAAATACACCTAATCGTCGAAAGGGTTCATTTTTACTGACATATCTATCATTCAAGGTCATTCGGGAGCAGCCAATTTCCATCTGCGGCTGACTATTGTGAAATGCATCCGACAAAAATCGTTTCCGTCTCTTTTTTTTTTTTTTTTTTTTTGTCAGCGCCACCGCCCTTTCCAATGCATGCACCGGGAAAACCAATTTATGAGCAAGTCAAGCGACCAGGCTTCTGCTGTTATTCAAGCACACCATAACGACCTTTATTTATAACCGAGAGGAGCACGTTATGAAAACTGGAAAGGCAAGAAAAACAGCATGCATAAAGGTAAACAAAAAATAGAAGGATACATTCTGGGTGATAACGAATTAAACATATGGTCTCTTCCCCCACCCCAAATTTCATGCTTTCTATCCTGCATCGTTTTATTAACTACCAATTTGCTAGCACATTACCTAAATAACTAAAGTGGAGATTATTTCAAATCATTGGGAGGTCAGGTTCATATCTGTCAACAACCAGGTCTCCCAAATGAAAATATATCATGTCCAAATTTAACTGAAAGTAACGGACCCCCACACACTGGCCACAACATCAAGTGCAAGCCACACAAGCGATACAGACAGAAAATCTGATAACAATGTGGCTATTTCATGGTTGTAGTTTGCAGAAAGTGAAGTGCATTTTGCTGAACTGCACTGGATAGAGCCAAGATGTGTTTCTAATATTTTGAGCCAACCGTTTAGATAGATGATATTGGTTTCAATCACCTATTTGTACAATAGTGGTGTTCTACACTTGTGAAAAATATTTGTACATATTCAGTGGATCACTTGATTTTCGAGTTGTTACGCTGTGAATATCCACGTGCCTTAGCACTCAGACCACAAGGCATAACCTGTATGTACTGTGCATTCTCCTTTACTGATGTAGTGCCACTTTCTCCCACATACATGCAGACTGCCCACAGCAATAATAACACCCATCACCTGCGGGAATATGTGAGGGAGAAGACAGTGACTCACTCGCAAAATGCAAGTGGACGAGTGCATATCGTCAACAAGGAGGAAGAAGAGGAGGCGGAGGAGTAGGAGGAGGTTGTGGCAAATGTGATGCTGCAGAAGCACTAGAAAGTGTTTGGAGAAGGAATGCAAATAACATGCTTAACAAGTGTGTTATGCCGCTTTGACCTAATTAACTGGTTTGTGATATTGCTCATCATTAACACTTGAAAACAACCAAGTATAGATGTTGTAGCTCTAGTTAGGGAACACATGATTCCTGCAAAACTAATAAAACATACCGCAAAAAAAAAAAAAAAAAACACCCACAGATTTGCTCTCTGCATACATGCCACTGTGCATCAGCCGTAAAAGTGTTCAACAGTCTCCGATGGCTTTGCACGGACACTCAGTCACGCCATCAGTGACATTTAGCAGATTTTCCCAGTGGGCCGTGTACAACTGCTTGTTGGCACTGACACATACAAAAATAGAGAAAAAGGTTTATCTCCCACACAAAGCTGGATTTATGCACATTATTTGCCACCTTTCTTCCCATCCCGTTTCTATCTCGCTTTGAGATGATTTTCCATCATCATACATTGCACGTAATTATTACATCTGCTCCATCTTTAATTGAACGCCACAGAGCGGCAGTTTGTTTTACATCTGGGTGATGCATATCAAGTTAACATGTTTCTTCAAATGACAGCTGCCTGATACGCATCAACAACCGTGGAGCTTGCACAGGCTAATTGTTATCCCTTGTAAAATGTATCTCATCCAAAGCAACCTGCAAGAACTCTCCTTTTAAATCACTTTCAGTCAAGTAGGAAACACAAGATTCAATCACTTGCCATTCAGCCTTTACCAAACACAAAAAAACATTGATTAAAAACAAAAGCAAAAACAACATTGAGTTGTAAAGGCCTAAATTTTCATGATTAAAATAGAACGGATCTTTCACGCTGTCATAATATGAACATCCCCAATTCCCATTTCATGAATGATGCAAAAAGGCCCATGTATCAAGAACGTTTTCATTCCTCAAGACCCAACTTCATTAATACTGCAAGCGGCCATTATAAAAGCTATTCATATCATCTCTTCTGACATAAGGAGTTCTTTCATTTTTAGTGCCCCAATACATTATCTGCACAGAAACAGGTCAGTTTACAATTATGACACAAACTTCCTCACATGAAAGCATCATATTTTATACAACATACATACGCAAATTGAAAACACTACTTTTTGTGGCTCCTGAAAGTTGGGGACTTAAAATCATCATCACTTCTCTGCCCTGCCCATCAATATGCACCCTAATGATGGTGCGCAATAAAACCCCACCACCCCAATAAACACACACACACACTTTTATGAACTGGACTTTCCAGAGGTCTGCATATGACTCAGTAACTTTCTACGTATCTTTATTTCAACAAAATTCGAATTAATGGGGGTCTAAGACTTTAACATGTAACATATTATTCAAAAAAGTTGAAACGCTCGCCAACACTTGGAAGGGAAATTTTATTTCCCCCTCAAATTCCTCTCTTGGTTTTGTGTCAGCAATATGTCTTTGACAACAATATATGAATGTAAAAGTCAAAGACCTGACATGATATATTTTTGCTGCAACTTTCATTGATTATACCCCCTGGGCAAACCTTACCAATCCGATGTGCTCCAATACAAGAGCTGTAGCAACAATTCAGCATTTCAACAAACCAATCTTGTATGATTGTCACATTTTGTCCATTTTTGATACTGCTTATTCTACTCAGCACCATGGCGAACTGGAGCATAATCCATCTGACTCTGGGTCAAAGGCAGACTATACTGGACTGGTCACCGGTCAGTTGTAGGGCACATATAAAAGACATGCAACCATTGTCACTAGATGTGTAGGGTTAAAGTCGACTATAATTTTATAGTAGACTATACATGTACTTAAAAACGTATCTTGATCCAGATGATTTTAATTGTGTAAAACCACCTGACAAAATCAAATTGAGTGAATTCAACATCCCCTTTTTTTCAGTGTAGTTGCAGACGTGAGGAACTGCAGCATCATACTGAGAGGTGTTTCTAATATTTTGCCACCCTATTTCGTTTGATGAAATTCTGCAGTGGATTTGAAGTTTCATTAGCAAAAATGAAACTCAACTGTGCTATGCAAAAATCTACAAGCGTGGATTTTCACTTTTGTATAGGGAACATGACATGCATCATATGTATTTTTACCCAATGCAGAAAATAATATTGGATTCAACATAAAAAAAGAAACCAAAAAAACCCCAAAAACTAATGTACATTTGGAGAAAGCAAATTGTATCACACAAAGCTATAATGTTGTCAACATCCTTTTCGGTTGCCCACGTCATTTTGTGTGGTGAAAAAGTCTCTTTGGGAGACCTTGAAAGGGCAGCCTTGGGTGGAGAGCAATGGTTCAGAACACAATGAAAGTGGTCCCTCTGTTGGAACAAATTAGTACCACAAGTGATGGACACGTGATTGGCACCCCACTCCCAATCTGCTGTTTTTTTTTTCATTAAACCAAAGCTCTCTAAAGCATAATCCCTGCTATGACTCGGAGGGAGCTGGAGCCAGAGAGCCAGAACTCACAGAGTACATCGAGGGCAGTCATTTTCATTCACATTTCCTTGGCAGTGACCCAAAACTGACAATGCAAGCTGGAAGGCAAGAAGATGAGGGATATTTGCTGTAAAAGCAACAACACAAAATGCCAAATTTATCTGATCTCACAGTTCACACAGCCTATCCCACATTACGCCCACACCAGCAAAAACAATAAACTAGTGATGTACCAATACAATTTCTGTCACACAAAGTACAAGAATTTACATTTTAAGAACTCATGGATACCACGTATTGTTACTTGATACATCTAGCAATTGTGACCATTATTTTTTTTTTCATAATCAAATATTTTTCAGAAACAAACTTTTCTTGAACATGGCATACGTTTCAATCTAACACTTTTCAGATTAACCACTTGTCATTACTGACATTTTAACATGCAATTACATTACATTACAGTCTTGCCACACATTTCACTTAAATCTAGCCTGTAATACAAGGCATCTGAGGTATGTGGTGTCTTGATCTGAATACGCTGGGTACTATGAGAACCTTGACAAGACACCAAAAATAATGTAGAGGGAGGTGGATATTCAAGTACGATTCTGAATGCTATGTTAACTCTGTATGTGAACTCCAAAATAAGGTGAGCAAAAAGCCATGCACGATGCTTCTTGAAGTAACCACAAGCTATAAAGTAAAACTGTGACATGACAACAGAAGTGAATCTTAATCAGAGCAATTACGTACTTGTTCACCTTATAATATCTCCACACAGCAGAATCTTACTCCACCTGCCTGGACAGCACACTGTATGTCAGACTGGTACAGTAGTATCAGTGTTGTAGTATCCATCCATCGATTCTCTGAACCGATTATCCTGACAAGGGTCGCAGACGTGTGGAACATTTTTTCCAACTATGAGTATAAGTACAGACGTACAGTATCGGCACCGATATCAGGACTGGTATCAGTATCAATCCATGACTGAGTTAAGCTCAACATATGCATAGCATTACAGAATTCTTTATGGACGATAAAGTAACGAGCGCCTTGCATCATTTTGTCGTGATTGCAAATTTTAACATTTTCAAATATGAGTCCCATGTTAATCCCTTTACACGGGTGGACACAGTGAGAAAAACATTTCTCCGGTCATGTTTGTGTGTCCTCATCCCTTGTGGACATCGCTTTCAAAAATAAAGGGCATGAGATAGAAAGAGAGAGAGAGAGAGACACAGAGGGAGAAAGAGAGAGAGAGAGAGAGAGAGAGAGAGAGAGAGAGAGAGAGAGAGAGAGAGAGAGAACTAAAAGGAGCCCAAATTCCTCCTTCTGGGGTTAAACAGTGCCTTCCTTTCGATTCAGCCTTGCATAAATCAAACGGATGATGAACAAAGCTATCAGGAAAAGCAGGCAGGCTTTGGACATTTCCCTCTTTGGATGCCTTGGCTCTTTATCCTCGCCATATGAGACGAGGATGGGAGCTAAGGTTGTGAGCTAATCTAATGACAAAAACAACATCCCGACGACACTCCCAAGAGGGAAGGAAGCAATGTAAGGAGGACAGGCTGGGGGAAATGGTCGAGACAATTAAGTGGGGTGATACATTCTCTTCTTTGGCTGTGACCAACTGGAAGATTTTTCAGCTACAAGGCAACTATTTAATGTGTTTTTCCCATCTTGCCCTCAAAAGCAAGTTTTATTATAACAGACTCAAGCTGTGACTGCTGTTTTTTTCCCTCTAAAATACTCAATTTTTCCTTCTGCATTCACATTCTCCATTTCATTGTTCTTCTTGTGTTTTGGCATTTCTGCTCATGATGAAAATCCACTCTACCATATCTTTACAATGTCAGCCTGTTTTAATCTGAGCTCATATCTACTGCACATGCTCAAAAGGATGCCCGGGTGGAGGTGGGGGCATCCAAGCAGCTCCTAGGAAACTGAGGAGTACATAATTTCATTACGGCTAAGAGCAGTCTCCATGGTAACCAGACAGCAGCGTTTGCCTCGCTTGCACAAAGGACACGCCCTTGCGAGGGAAGAACAACAGGAAG